CATTAAAGACACAAATTGAAGAAATTATTTAATAAACATGAGGGTTATGAGTGGGTCCCAGAACCCAAAAAGTTTGAGAACCCCTGGTTTAAGGTAAAGTAAAGGGCCAAGATGGTGTAGCGGCAGGGCAGCCGACTTGGGACCCGAAAGTCCCAGGTTCAATCCTCAGTCACTGCACATCTCATGGTGTCTCTGAGCAGGACAACCTATCCCCAATTGCTCCCTAGTCACCCTCAATAGTTGCCCACTGCTCCACCTGAGTGTATCCCTGCAGAGAGCTAATTGTATGGGAACATACAGTGATGACAACACATTATTATTATTATTATAAAAATGATTGCTCAGTTTTTGGCCCTCTTATGATAACATACAACATCAGAAATTTTCACAATAAAAGCACAACCGTTTTCACTTTTCCGGCACATATTTGTTGAAGCAGGAAGATTAAAATAACATGCTGTGTATTTTATTGTGTAGGGTGCGATTTGAAGCCCAGCAAAGCCTCACCTCTCCTCTGTAGCGAGCCAAGTTGAGTGCAGGAAATTCATCCGAGTAGCTCGTGCTGAAGTTGACGACATTCACCAGGTGGGCTGAAACGTGAAAAACTGTAAAGAGGAGAAAGAATGACTCAAAACTAATTTAAAGCACATGTTCTGTTTGACACAGACACATGATATGCAGGATGCAGACACAATAGTAAACTGCAGGAGGACAAATATTTCTTTGTCCATTCAATAACAACAAGACACCCTTCTTCCTGACATCACAGACTGACTGCTCAGCCGTTCAACAGCTGATGGGATTAGGGGGAGTAATTATGACACACAAGGGTCCTTATTTCTCTCCACATATCCTTTCCCAATCCCACGTCTCTCCATCCCCCCTTTTCTCTGCCTCAGTGTTTTTTGTCCTTAGAGTCATCCCTTGTCTTACGTTCATGTGTGTTTCTGATCGTTTTAATGAGTGGAAGCGTGCAAAGTCATGATGAGTAAAAGGAAAGGCCTGCAGATGATGTCATAGTGAAAGCCAGATGTGAATCTTTTTGGCTTTCAGGAACTGAGTTTGTAAAGAAATACTATATGTCCAATAAACATTCATGATGCTTTGGAAATTCAACACTAACTTTAGCTTGATCACTTTTAGTTTAAAGCCTAAAAATGCTTTAATATATTATTAACTTAACATCAACTCATTTCTAGGTACTGTACGTTTTTAAAATGCTTTTTATCTGGACCAGGAAATAAAAACTTCTTGTTAGCTTTTTTACTTTATGTTTTTCTATGATAAAATTATAAAACCCCACGTTATCGAATGCATAGTCAGCAGCACATCTGCACCGAAATTACAACAAGCCTTTAATCACAAGGTAAATGAAGTCCGCCCAAAACAAGACGTCTTACCTTTACATAATAAAAAATGGAAGGAACAGCAGAGACTAAGGATTATGATGCTGATATAACAAAATTAAATAAAATACTGTGTTGTGATCAGCTGACCTGTAAACACATTATGCAAAAAAAAATAATTAATTAAAAAATAAACAAATGGCCTTTTGATGAATTTGAAGCAATACACCTGGGGGAGTGGTGACGCAGAGGTTAGAGGAGGGGAGCTTGTCATCAGAAGGTTGCTGGGTCAAATCCCCAGAGAAACAAAATTGTAGGTGGGAATGTTAACGCACCCACAGCGGTCCACACCCTCCTTTGCCACAACCTGGGCCCTTGAGCAAGACGCTTACCACCCCCCAACCCCCCAGCTGCCTCTTGGGCACCTTGAATGGAACCACACATGTGGGCACATGTGGGCGATCTGTGGTCGCATCAGGAAGGGCAACCAGCGTAAAAGTAATCTCCAGATCTTTGTGTGAGCTCGCTTGTTGTGGCGACCCCTGAAGAAGGGAGCAGCCTAAAGAGAACACATTTTCAAGCATTACACCTATAAAATAGGAAAACTGAGTTAAAAACCTGGATTTTTTTTAATCAGTTAGACAGTAAGCAAACAAAGTCACCAGTAAATAAAGTCACCCCCAGGTGGCATGGTGGAATTATTTATACACGAGTTTAGTCAAAATTTGACAAATATTTTTTATGTGAGAGACCCGCTCTTCAACTGGAGTGCAGTAACTGTATTAATCCAGCTGCTTTGTGTTGAATAATAGAATACAAAGAAATGAGCGTAATGTTAAAGTCCTTTCATTTTACTTGTGTTTTTTAATTATTATAGTAAATAAAGACTTTTAAATGCAACTAAAGTACAAAGAAATACTTATAAACAATCTAACATTTAAATGAAATCTGTTCATATCTGCTGTGGTTGGATGGTTGAATACAAAGTAAAACGAGATTTCTTGTCAAGCTGTGTAAAACTGTCTGGACTGCTAGAATCATCTCTCACCACAAAGTGTTATTAGTCGGCAGCTTTTCCAACCAAAGCGGGACCGCAGATTACAAATCCTGACAGCAGACTGTTTTAAGCAGCGAGAGCTGACCTCCCTTCACTGGTTTGTCCTTTGTACAGAAACGAGTGCATTACTTTGCTTACGTTTATTACAAGCCGGGCTTCCCAGAAAACAACCGAGAACAAAACAAGGAGTAAAAGGACATCTGTGAAGCAGAGACCCAGCTGCCTGAGGCTCCCATGATGTCATGAGGGGAGACTCACAAAAATAACAACACACACATGTACAGATAAAACACGCACGACCAGTGAACACGACTTCCCAGCTGGTGCACCAGGAATGCACAGCCAGCATGGATTGATTTATACACACACACACACACACACACACACACAGGCATACATGAATGAATCAGCACATGCTGCAGAGATAAGAGTGAGTTGTTACCAGAGAAGAGGCAGACAGCAACGCCACAGGCAACATGAAAGGTCTTGCTCTTGTCCAGCAGTCTGCGCGTCTTTCTGGAAGATACCTGAGTGTGATAGGAACACAGACAAAACCAAAAGGATTACTGGTATTTCTGGCAATGAGAATCAAAAGAAGCACATGTGCATATGTAATGATATGGTCCTGTTAGACCTCAG